CCGATGACAGCCCCGCGACCGGCGCTGCCACCCGTCACGGAGCCGAGGATCGCGCCGGCCACCGCACCGGCGCCGGCCCCCTTGGCCGTGCCTTGTTCACGCTCGCTCATCGACGAGCAGCCGGCCATCAGAACGGCCAGGCTGATGACGCCTGCCGAGGTGGCAAGGCGAATGCGGTTGCTGCGCTGCTGCAGGGAAGGACGGGCAGTCATATCGGTTCTCCAACGGGTCGGATGAAAAGCCGCCCGAACGCCGAGTTCGGGCGGCGCCTCAAGGGAAGGCGCGTCAGACCTTGCCCTTGCCGGCATCCTTCAGGGCTTCGCGGGTGTCACCCACGGCCTTCTGGACCTTGCCTTCGGCTTGCGTCGCGGCACCCTTGATCTGCTGCTCGGTGCTGCCGATGGCTTCGCCCAGCTTGCGCTGTGCCTTGCCGGCGATGTCCTTGGCGGTACCCTTGATCTGGTCGCTGTTCATGGCGTGGTTCCTTTGCGTTGGCCCTCGAGGCGGGATTGCCTGAGGTGCTGATCGTCAGCGTAGGGCGCAGCCCGAGGGCACCGCGCCAGCACGAACCGGTTCTCCGGGTGGGCGCAGTCCTACGCCGGGCAGCGTGTAACGGGGCAGCCGCTCTTCCTACGACCGTGACGGGCCCCGTCCGCTACGCAGCGCCGCCCGCGGCGCGCAAGCTTGGCTCATCCACCCTCACCTCAAGGAGACCATCATGGGTAAGTACTTCCTGGCCTGGCTGCTCGGCGTTCCCGGCATCGTTCTGTTGCTCGTGTACCTGTTCTTCCACTGATCCGGCGACCGCGCGGTGCCTGGCCGTCAGGTCCCGGCACCGCGCTTGCCGCAGTGGGAGCCCCCTGCCAGGAGCTGCCCCATGACCCGCATCGCCGACATCATGTCCACCGACGTCAGCACGATCCAGCCACAGGAGAGCCTGCGCCATGCCGCTGAGTGCATGCGCCGGCTCGATGTGGGCGCGTTGCCCGTGTGGGACGGTGAACGGCTGCTCGGCATGCTGACCGACCGCGACATCATCGTGCGCGGCCTGGCCGACGGGCTGGACCCGGACGCCGCCTGCGTGTCCAACATCATGACCCCCGACGTTCGCACCTGCGACCCCGAGCAGGACACCGAGCACGCGAAGCGCCTGATGGGCGAGCAGCAACTGCGCCGGCTGCCGGTGGTCGACGCGAATGCGCGCCTGGTCGGCATCGTGTCGCTGGGCGACCTCGTCGTGCGCGAATCGGGCCACATCGACCAGGCGCTGCGCAAGATCTGCACGCCTGACCTCCCCCTTACCTGACACTGCCATGCGACTGACCCTTGCCGTGCTGCTCACCGCAGCCCTGGCGGGCTGCGGCGAAAGCGCGCGCCTGCCCGACAAAGCCGATATGGGCGCACGCCCCACGCTCACCGAGCCGGTGCGTACCGTCATCCCGACAGCCCATGTCGCCGCCGCGCGGCCCTGGCAGCCCGGGCAGGGCCCGGTGGCCGCCTCGGGCCTGGCCGTGCA